CTCACGTAACTACAAGTTCAGACTGAGTTCTGCTGGCAAAGCTGCCTGTGAAAACCTGCCCTGGGAGATCTGCCCACACACTACACTAATTAATCTACTTTCATAAAGACCGTGGAACTGATTTTGATCTACGAGGCATGAAACCTATGTTCAAGAGCTTTGTTTCCATCAGAAAGCCATCTTAACTGAATGGGTGTTTTCTTTTTTTTTTGAAAAGTTTTTCAGCCAATATTTCAAATTTTTAAAATTTCCCACTCTTACTGAACCAAAATGGAAAAGTGAGAAAGACAATAAAGGACAAAACAGATTTCTTTTTTTTTTTTTGAGACAGAGTCTCACTCCATTGCCTGGGCTACAGTGCCCTGGCATACCCTGGCTCACAGCAACCCCAAACTCCTGGGCTCAAGCAATCCTTCTGCCTCAGCCTCCCAAGTAGCTGGGACTACAGGCATGGACAATCATGCCCGGCTAAGTTTTTCTATATATATTAGTTGGCAAATTAATTTCTTTCTATTTTTAGTAGAGATGGGGTCTCGCTCTTGCTCAGGCTGGTTTCGAACTCCTGACCTTGAGCCATCCATCCACCCGCCTCGGCCTACCAGAGTGCTAGGATTACAGGCATGAGCCACCGCGCCCGGCCCAGATTTTTAATTCTTAAAAAAAAAAAAAAACAAAAAGTAAACACTCCATGAGCTCTCCAAGATTTTAAGACAAAAAGAAAAAGCAAGTTATTAAAGGATATAGGCACACTCACAGAGCACATCTCACCCCAGTACCTGGATGAGAAAATGGACGTGGACTTGGCATCACAAAAAATAAATGGTATCTCCAGACCAGCAGGAACGCACCAGGAGATGCCCATGCAGAGTCCCCCAATTTTTCAGTTGGCATTTTCAGCTTAGTTTTTTTCCTTAAATCAGGAAACCAGTAACAATTAATTCATTCATTCATTATATAAAACCAGTGACAATTAATTCATTAAGGTGGGGGCGGGGAGGCTGTATTCCTTGTTACTTACAGTAAATCTTGTTCAGGAAAAATACTGAAAATTTACAAATGAAATACTGAAAACTGAAAAAATGAAAATGCTGAAAATTCACAAATGAAAATTTCAAACTGTAGAGAGGGGAAACCTTTGGTATTTTAGAAAACAGAAAATTGTGGTTTCGAAGACATCAAAAATAATTCCATTATCTCATATGCCATAACAAATGAGAAGATAGTTTTCATTTATGACCTGTAAATTCAAATGTTCTTAACTTTCTTTTTTCTTGATTTGGCATGGAACTCCAGGACAACCTCACAGTAAGAAAAGACATAAAAACCAATATGGATAAATATGTACAACTATTATGTATCTATAATAATTAAAAATTTTTTTTTTAAATTTTAAACCAATAAGGAAAGAGAGAAAGGGACTCACTCTCCACTCAACATTATGGTGTGACTTGACTTCAAATGCCAATAGCTGTTCCATCTTCTCTCCACTGGTAATTATTACCTGCTGAACTTTTACTATGTTTTGTCAGTTAGGTTTATTTAACTAACTCTTTCACACAAAGGAAGATACTATTATGAACCTTGTTCTATTCACTACAGAGATGATGGTAATGACAGTGGTGGTGGTGATAATGACAGCTACATGTCACTACCTGAATCTCACCACTAAGGAGGCATTAAAACACCTCTACAGAATCCTGCTAAGTTTAGTAGAAACACTTCTTCTAAAGGGCCATGGGCTATTAATCATACACACACAAAAAAACCCCACAATCAATCCCCAATAAATGTAGATTTAGCATATTAAAAAATGAATAACTATAATGCAACCAATGCTGCTGACCTCAAGAGAGGAAATGTAAATAAAATTTCCCCCATATCTGTCAAATAAATGAACTCTTCCCTGAGGAAAAGCCATACTCTTCTGCCTTTATTAAAGGCCATTTGAACCCTTTAGTTATTACTATTCCTGACACAAATGAAGTCCGAAATACATTCTGGTTATAGCCAAACACCCCCCGCCCCGGGGATTTCTAAGAAGTCCAGGACTGCTGGAAACGAGCCACTCAGAAACTGTCCCGCTCCTTACCCAGCTCTGCCAGAAGATAACTCTGTATTAAAACCAAACTTTTCTTGGGGGCCCTCATAAGAAAGTCATGAAACAATGAGATGCAAAATATATTTATTATATTAATATCTGTTTTTCTTTAATGTGATTGGGGGGGGGCATGAATCCTATGAAGATCCAGACCCAGATGATCAGAAAGTCATCATTTACCCACATATTGTTACAACTGGAGAAGTCAGATAAAGCAAAGGATGTGAAGACAAGGAGGAAGAAATGTCTTCATCCTTAAGTTCTAACTCCACAGGAAGCATCTGCTCTTAGAACAATAACTCCCAGCCTCTGCTAATGGAGTAACATTCTCCTTTGAAAGAGGAGAGTGCTCCTAACAATGGCATTTTCTTTCTTTTTTTTTTTTTTTGGAGACAGAGTCTCACTCTATTGCCCAGGCTACAGTGCCATGCCGTCAGCCTGCTCACAGCAACCCCAAATTCCTAGGCTCATGCAATCCTCCTGCCTCAGCCTCCCAAGTAGCTGAAACTACAGGCCCACACCACCACACCTAGCTAATTTTTTCTGGTTTTAGTAGAGACAGGGTTTCGCTCTTACTCAGGCTGGTCTCAAACTCCTGACCTCAAGTGATCCCCCCACCTCAGCCTCCCAGAGTGCTAGGATTATAGGTGTGAGCCACTGCTCCCAGCCAAAATGGCATTTTCAATAAAACTATACATCAACAGAGTCCAAAACAGCCTATGGAGGAAGCAGCATTTTCCCTCTTTCTTCTTCAAAGGTCCATTTTGCTCCAGGACAGCACTGTCCAACCCAGTCTTGAGCATTTAAGCTTTCCCAGGGGCATATGAGGAACTCTCTTCCAGAAAGAAAAATCTAAGAATAAAGTTAAAAACCAAGTAACAACAACATGCACCCCCAGTGCAGGTACTACCTGCTGCAGAAAAGAGAAAGAAAAGAGAGAGATAATGGAGACTGTAGAAATGACAATAACAGGAGAAATTCTAGAATAAGAGTATGTAAAAGTCCAAGCAAAGGCCAAATATTTATCAAAATCATCCACGTCCAGGTTATTCTGGACTTCTGCATTATGTAAAACTGCCATACTAACAGAGCCAAAATTATAAATTCTTTTTGTTTTATTTCAGCATATTATGGGCGTACAAATGTTTACATGTGTTGCCTTTTCCCCCTCCCCCCAAGTCAGAGCTTCAAGCATATCCATCCCCCAGACAAAATTATAAATTCTTAATGAATAAATAATGAATGTGGAACTAACTTAAGCATTGTTTCCTGTGATTTGGTATTTCAAATTTTTCTTTACTATCATAAGATCAGGATTTATTCATTTTCAGAAATGACAGGTCAATAACAAAGTTGAGGTCTATACCCATGTAAAAAGGAAATGAGGCTTTCTGCATCTTCCTCTGCAGTATTATTATACTAATAACAATAGCAGTTGTTGCATATTGAGTGCCTACTAGGTACAACATAACTGCTTTCAACTTTGTAACTGTCTTAGGAAGTCAGTTTCACTATCTCTGTTTTACATATGAGGAAAGTGAGGCTCAGAGCAGTTAAGTAACCTGCCCAAGATCAGACAACCACGAAGCAGAGAAGTGGTAGGATTCAAACTCAGATCTTCAGAGCTAACCTCTACTTCCTCTTCCGGGAAACAAGGCCTCCCACCTCCCTGACATTGTTCCTATGAGGAACAATGAGGAAGTGGCCTGGCCCCTGTACACACCGTCTCTTCCTGGCTCCTACCCAAATTTACCTCCTCAGTCAATTTCCAGTGAGGAAAGAACCACAGAAAGTAGATGAACTTTTATTTTTAATCTCGTTTCATGCTGGCTTTAATTTCTCTATGCTGGTAAAAAATAAACATTTACATAATGAATTGTTCGGAAATCCCATTGTGTGGCCATAAATGATTTTTCTTAAAAATGCATTATAGGAAGCTATGCCTCAATTTCTAGCCTCTGACTAAACATGCAAACATGCTTCTGGTTAACAGTGTTTATATTTGGGTGATAGGATTATGGGTGATTTTGGTTTATTTCCTTTACTGCTAGTGTTATCAAGTTGTAAGCACTGAGCATATAGCACTTTTGCAATTAGAAAAAAATTTTTTGATAAATGTTCATTTCAATGAAAAAAAGTTTAGGTATTTAAGTATTTACCCCTTCCCCTCGAATCATTTTTCCCTTAATATTGAAAAAGAAGACATTCATTGCCCCAATTTAATAGTGGTCCAGGTAAGAACCAGAACTTGAAAGAAGAGATCTTCTATAAAGGTTTCTATTTTCATACTATTTTTTTTCCTGCTAGTTTAAAAACTAAGAAATATTCCATAAAACTGGATTTCAACTATTGCGTAGCTCTTCTTTTCCTTCCCACAAGTCTATCTTGTTAAATACTCTACACCCAATAAATATGGATTTGTAACAGAGACTAGCTTTTAACAACGCCCATTTCCTCTTCTGGGGTACACGCTAGCCTACATTTCCCAGCATCCTTTGCCGTCTGAATATGAGCAGTCTTGACATCAGCTATTTCTAGGCTAGCCCATAAAAACCTCCCACATGAGTAACTCCATGGTCTTCTCCTGCAGTCTTGGGAGCCGCATGTCTAAGACCATAGAGTCATGAAATGGAAGGAGCCTGGGCCTCTGAATCTCCACTTGGAAGAGCACCCAGGAACACCACTTGGGACTTTACATGAGTGAGAATTAAAAGTGTACTATGAACCTTAAAATCTGTACCCCCGTAATATGCCGAAATAAAAAAATAAAAATAAAATAAAAGTGTATTATGTAAGCCACTGCAAGTTCAGGGTTTCTCTGTTCTGCTACCTAACACATTGCCTTATGAACATATTCCAGTTATTACTGCAGAAAGGTAAGACTCTATGCTGTTTACCTTACCCTTTTCAAAGACTCCTTCTGCTTCCAGGACAGACACAGTGAGGTTGGCTACCACCTTGAACAGCTCCGCCTTCACAGTGACCTGCGAGGGGCTGTGTTCCAGAAGATCCACCCCAATGGTCACATTTCCTCCGGGCCTGATGATCCCTGGGGCTGTCACCAGAAACTGAGACCTAAAGAGTCCCCAACAAGGGAAAAACAAAGTTTCTTATCCTCACATCTCCATTTATTATTTTTTTTGTGTGTGATCTTCAAGTTTCATAGATAATGAGATAGCTGCTCCACACTGTGCCAACTGCGGTTATTCCAATTAACATCGCCCCAGTGCTCTATTTAGCAATTGCATTGAAATGCTACTGAAACAACAATAATTCCCATAAATCAATTTTAATGCAGTGATTCATGCCCCCCTACTAGAGGAAGGCCTGTGTTATTATTTCCTACAAACAGCACAGGAGGAGCCATGGTGTAAATGGCTTACACTGCGGCATGCAGAAGTTACTGGCACAGAACTCTAAGCTTCTGCCTTACAGACGACCTCATCAGAGTGATTACTTTCTTGGTTTAAAAAAAAAAAAAACTAGGATTTTGCCTGTTTTTTATACAAATTCTTATGCTTGGGCATGCGCCCAAGAAAATAATCATCTATCCAATAGCACTGATTGAAATACACCGTCTGAAAATCAAACACCAGTGGTGAAATTTCCAGGTGTAGCAGAGAATAAAAGAAGTCCCCAAAGCAGAAGTTTCTCTGCCGGGAGCTAAGGGTTAGGGCTCAAGTGCAAAAATCTTTAGGAATGGAGGCTTTCCACTATTTTGGATGCTCTCATTAGTTATCTTCCTGCAATGCCTGCACCCTAAACCCATACATCAGTCCGTCCGCTCAGCCACATTTGGCAATGCCCAAGTTAAGACATCCTGTTTAGAAAAGATATATCAAATGTCTCTGAGAAAAGAAGGCACGTTATCTGGGAGCAAACAGTTGAGAAGCAAAAGGCAGGGGCAACGTGAACTAAAAATAAAATGACTCCTCTTTGGAAAGTTGTTACGGCTAGCGAGGCGCGTAACCAACTTCATGGGTGGAGGAGGCAACTAACTGTCCCATGCAGAGCCTCGCTGAAGCGCCCTACGGTCAAGGCTCCCGGCCGGTGCCGGGCTGGGGACTGCGGCCGCGCGACTCCCCTCCGCTGCCTCCCGGAGCCGGCCCGGGCTGCGAGCGGTCCCCGCCGCCGCGCGCCCCACCCCCGCGCGCCCGCGTCCCTACCCGGGGGCCGCGGCCACCGCGGCGGCGCACACGCAGAGAAGGTGGGCGGCGGTCAGGCGCTGGGGGCCCTGCATCTCGGCGCGTCTGCCTGGGCGGCCGTCCGCTGCCCTGCCGGGGAAATTCGCGGGCACCGTAGGGCGTGGCTTGCCACCTCCTCCCTGAATATTTTTTTCCCCTGACTCTGGAGTTTAGTAATCTGAAATGGGCGCGACGAAAAGCCGAGTGAAGAGATCTAAATTGAGACAGGACTTGGAGGCTCCACCCCTCCCACCCGCATCACGACGGCGCTTTCTCGTTGCTCTGGCAAATATCGCAAATCCGGGAGGGGGGTTAGGAAGCAGCCTCCCAACGCGGGCAGCCCGACCTGGCCCCAGCACCCCTGCTGGGCGCGCGGGACCCAGGGCGCCCACTGCCCCAGCCCACCGGGTTCCCAGGGCCGTTTACACTAGCGCTGTCCCGGCGATGCCCACAGTGAATAAACAGGCCCATCCTTGTGAGGAGAAATTCACAGCAGCTATGTGAAGTGGAAAAAAATCAATCATTGTCCTCCAGACTATGAGTCAGAATGTGAGAAATGGCAAACACACACACACTGGCGCGCGCCAAACAGGTATATTTCCTGTGTAACTTGCTTAATGTATATGAATGGGGACAGAGAAAAACTTTTTTTCCTTAAAACAAAAAATCGAGGTACACTGCTTGCCCCTCCAAGAAAATGTTTTGGTTTCTCAACTTTAAAAAGAAGAAAAGAAAAGAATTCTGGCACGTGCAAAAGTGAGGTGTTGCTACTTGGAACCCTGAGGAACAATTGACTGGGAAGATGATTTTACACTTTGGGCTGTCTCCAAACACATTTGCTACAGAAAGCGTTCAGTGGAACACTAAAGCTTGGAGCAATCCGTCTAAACACAGTTAGGGCTGGGGTGGCTCTCCTGTAAAAATGAAGGTCGGTGGCCTGCAGTGCCCAACAGTTCCTGATCCCCAACTCTTCCTCGCTGGTCTGCAGCTCCTTTCCCCTGCTCTTTGGCACTGCCACCATCTTCAGATGACTCAGGTTTCACCATGACTACACCATAAAAGCAGGGAACTGCCAGAAACTGTTGGAAAACAAGCACACTCAGTCCCTGACAACTTTCTAATTCATGGAGAAGTTTTAGTTGGTGACATTTTAATATGGGGCAAAATGCAAACGGAAAAGAAGTCAGCAAAGAGACCGTCTCAGGATAAAGCTACGCGCTAAATAAGGGGAAAAGTAGCACCTAGACAAACTGTGGTTTTTGGAGTCCCAGAACTTGCTTTCCTCCCTTTCCTGTTACACCCTTTTTCTCCCTGAACAGCTTGCCCTTGTGTCCTCTCCTACAGGCAGCCTATCTTTAGTGGCAACTTCCTGTGCAGGCAGGACTTGGGAACAGTGAAAAGAGTTCCGCGTGGAACCTTGGGTGCACACCTGTTCCAGACACAGCTGTTTCTGCTAGTGTGGTCTCCTCACATCTGCTGATCAAAGAGGAGGACCAGGGTCAAGTGTGGGTTAAGCGCCAAGGTCTAGATTGGTGCCTCTCACACTCCAATGTGTATGAGAATCACGTTAAAATGCAAGTGCTGATTCAGCAAGTCCAAGGTGAGAACTGAGATTCTGCTTTACTTCAACAGACAGCGGGCCACAGAGTCTACAGGCAGGGGATATTAGCGGTCACTTTGATGAGCAAAGGAAGTTGACAAGACTGAGAAAATTCTTCTCAAACATTCACTTCATAGAGGTGAGTCAATAAATTCAGGTTCATTCTAGAGGCAGACAAACAGAAAAGGGGACTACAAAAGATTAGTTGATAATGTTGCATTCCATCCAAGAAAACTTACAGAAAGGCTTGGAATCACCTAGTTGTAGTGTCGAGCCTATGGTCGCTATAAGTCAACCAGAAGAGAAAAGCTAAATGTGGATAAGAGCACGGAAAAATTGATGGAGAATTAGAACCCATGTCTGTCTTACTATCTCTAACTTCAATGTCATGGGCAACCTGCAGGAGAAAGCTGAAGGGGGAGATCTTCTGAGAACTGGAGGAGCTATAAGCCTGATTGCTGCCCCACAACCACAAAGTGAACTAGCACATAAGTAACAATATGGGCAAGTGTTCCCACCTGCCTAGAACCCTAATCCACCGTCAGAAAGTAAAAAACACAGCTTCTCCTTCACTGCTGGCTTCCAGATTCATACAAAATGTCTTTTGTGGCCAGCACCAACTCAGAAACATACAGAGAAGGGAATTCTGACAACTTTAGCTCCATCTTAGATAAGCTGGCACAGTACAAAGCAACCAAAGTCCATTCCTCATCAACTTGGCATCTATATATACCCTTTAACTATATTTAACTTCAAAAAAAGACAATAGAAAAATCATGCTTTCACCTAACATGGTGAAACTATTCCTCATACAACCAAAATCAACATAATCTTCTCTCCAAAACAAAAACTATCTACCAGAGAAGAAGGAATCACAATTAATTTGAGTTCTTCAAAGTCTCTAATGCTCTAGTGCATGGTTTCAATTATTATAATTTGAACAGCAAAGTACTATCTAAGAAAGACACATTAATCTGAGATGACCTCTAGCAATTGCTGGTTTGGAAATTGATGGATGTCACCCAATGGCATGATTTAGAAACTAATTAATTAATTAATAAGCGAAAACACAACTTTGAAATGACACCGACAGTAAACTTTTGTTTCAGATCCCAAGACTGTCGGCCAGGTAAGGCAGCTCACGTTCTGTGTTTCTCCTTCTCCTCCTGGGAGCAGCAGGCTGGGAGACACATGTTCCTCTCATGGCCATGGCAGAAGCACAAGAGAGTAAGCTCCACTGCTCAAGCATATCTCAGGTCTCTATTTACTTGACATTTGCTAAAATCCCATTGATCAAAGCAAGCCCCATGGTCAAGACCAAGTCAAGGGTGGGTAGCATACTGCACCTTTTTGTGAGGAACTGCAAACTTAATTATATGGTAAAGAATATGAATGGAAGAAAACTGGAACCAATAATTCAGTCTACCACAGACAGTAAGCAACATTTCCCCAAAGCTGTGTTCTGTTCATCAGGACGATGTTTCCATGAAGAACAATTAGCCTATCGAGGAATGAAGAGAGTAAGGGAGGGAGGAACGTAGGAAGGAAGGAAGGAGAGAGAGAGAGAGCACAAATACATAGTGGGGGGTGGGGAGAGAAAGAAAGGAAGGAGGGAAGAAAGGAGGAAAGGAGGAAAGAAAGGAAAGAAGGAGGGAAGGAAAGAAGGAAGGAAGGAAGGAAGGAAGGGAGGGAGGGAGGGAGGGAGGGGTACCTAAATTCATGAATGGGTAATGATTTTTTTAATGTATTAACTGTTGGAGGATGGGACAGTATGAACTCATTAAAGGAAAAGAATTAAGCTTTATCCTGATTTTCCTGTATTTACTGTATCACTAGCTAATCAAATGGTAGATATGGGAAAATTTCTCTCTATAGAAATTTTTCAGCTAATAAATATAAAATGAATATTAGAATAGCACCATATCACAACTGCTCATGAATGAGAAAATCTATACCAGTGCTGTCCAATTACTCTTCCTATGACAATGGAAATGTTCTCCATCTGCCCTAACACAGTAGTTACTAGTAACATGAGGTTACTGAGACTTTGAAATATGATAAGTGTAACTGAAAAATTAAATTTTTAATTTTATTTAAGTTAATTTACATTTAAGTTGCTACATGTGACTAACAGCTACCATATTGGATTATGTAGACCTGAACAATAATCATAAATAGCTGCTAGTATCACAAATGGAGATATCTAGGTACTACAGGCCGCCTGATAGAAGAACAAAGCATCACCTAAGAAGTGGTCTTGCCAAAAAAATTGAACCTGAGGCTGGGCGCGGTGGCTCACGCCTGTAATCCTAGCACTCTGGGAGGCCGAGGCAGGTGGATTGCTCAAGGTCAGGAGTTTGAAACCAGCCTGAGCAAGAGTGAGACCCCCTCTCTACTATAAATAGAAATAAATTAATTGGCTAACTAACATATATATAGAAAAAATTAGCCGGGCATGGTGGCGCATGCCTGTAGTCCCAGCTACTCGGGAGGCTGAGGCAGTAGGATCGCTTGAGCCCAGGAGTTTGAGGTTGCTGTGAGCTAGGCTGACACCACTGAACTATAGCTGAGGGGAGAAAGAGAAACTCAATCAAACAAATAACCCAATTCCTTCAATAAATTAACTGCAAGGAAAAATAAAAGGGGGACGTTAGCAAGATGGTGGAATAGGAGTTTCCAGGGCTCCTCCTCTTGGAGAAGCATCAATTCAAACAGTCATCCACACACAAGAATACCTTCACAAGAGCTACGGAATCCAGCTGAGGGAGTAAAGCACTGAGGTGGAGCACAGAAATAAGAAAAGACACATTGAAAAAGAAGATAGGGAGAACAGCTTCATGTTACCCAAGTTACACCTTCCCCAAGCTCACTCAGCTCAGCACAGCACAGTATGGAGATACCCTCCACATGAAGGTAAAAAAAGGGACATGAGAACCTGACTTTGCCACAAAACTCAGCACCAAGCCCCCTCCAATGAGCCTCAGTACCAGCCCACCCCAAGTCTCCAGGCTGCAGGCCTGCCCCATCGACTCAGGCACCAGACCAACTCCAATGGATCCAGGCACCAGTGCCACTCTGGTAAACCTCAGCACCAGGCCGGCACCTGCAGACTCAGAACTAAGCCCATCCCTGTGGACCCAAGCACCAAGTCAGCCTCTGTGGATCCAGGCTTCAGGTGAGCCCTATATGAAGAAAATAATGAATAATGAATGTAAAAACAAATTAAATAGACACTAGAAAAACAATAAAACTAAGAGTTGGTGTTTTGAAAAGGTAAACAAAATTGTAAACCTTTAGCTAGAATAAAAGAAGACTCAAATATTTTTTAATTTTTTATAATCTTTTTAACTAGTTGATTTGGCAGGTGAGTTGTTACATCAAATAAAGAAAATTATAAATGAAAGAGAAGACATTACCAGTGATACCAAAGAAAAACAAAGGATCATAAGAGACCACTATGAACAATCATACAACAAAAAGTTGAATAACGTAGAAGAAGTGGATAGATTCCTAGAAACATACAACCTACCAAGACTGAATCATGAAGAAATAGAAAATCTGAACAGATCAATAATGAATAAGGAGATTGAATCAATAGTCCAAAACCTACCAACGAAGAAAAGCCCTGAACCTCATGGCTTCCCTGGTGAATTCCAGCAGACACTTAAAGAAGAATTAATACCAATCCTTTTCAAACCCTTCCAAAAAATTGAAGGGAAGGAATACTTCCAAACTCATTTTACGAGACCATTACCCTGCTACCAAAGCCAAAGACACTACAAAGAAA